AGACTACTTTTAAAATTCTTTGTGTTAAATTAATCCAGTTAGCCTCAGGGACAAAGATTGGGGTCCCCACAGCACCTTGTGTTGAGACATGAATGCTAGTGTCTTTTTCCTGCCAACTCCTGTGCAGGTTTGGAGGCCAACACTCTCTCCTCCTATATCAGTAGCTCACAGAAGCCCCAGCTTCCCCTTAAAGCTTAATAAAATAAAAATAACTACTATTTTTAACAGTACTCTACCATTTGAAAAATCTTTTCATTTATCTTCTAGTGACTTATGTTATCCTCACAGCCTATGAGGGGGCTATCTACAGTTTCCACTTTAATGATGGGAATGTGAGGAGGAGTATCTTGCCCAAGTCCCTAAGTAGATATTGATGGAGCCCTGAGACTGGATTTTCTCTCTCTCCCCCTCTTTTTTTTTAAATATATTTTATTGATTTCAGATAGAGGAAGGAGAGGGAGAGAGAGATAGAAACATCAATGATGAGAGAGAGAGTCATTGATTGGCTGCCTCCTGCACACCCCCGACTGGGGATCAAGCCCACAACCCAGGCATGTGCCCTGACCGGGAATAGAGCCCTTACCTCCTGGTTTATAGGTTGACACTCAACCACTGAGCCATGCCAGCCAGGTGACACTGGGTTTTCTGATCTCAAAGCCTGCCCATGTCTAGTTAGAAGAGAACTGGGCTGGGCCTCCATCTGGCCCAGATTAAAGAACAGAAGAGTGGGGAAGAGGCCCGCCCGCTCACTTTTGTTCTAACGGGAGGGCGTATTCTGGAAGCCAATGACTGCCAAAGAGATAGGCAACAATCTTAAGGCAGAAAGCCCACAGGGGAGGGATAGGGAACTCAGACAATGCAACAAGAATTGGTGACAAGAGGGTTCTGTGGCTCAGGAGGTTGGCTGAGTGGTTAAATGGGTGGGGAAGGACTTAGGACAGAAACACCCCACTTCCAACCTGCAGTGTTCCTACTAGACCCACTGTGAGCATGTGAAGTATGAAGCCATCAGGAATGTCTGGCCCAGAACAAGACCGAATGAAGAGATATCCCTGCATCAAGGTGGCCTTGGGAGGTTCCCATGGCAACAGCCAGCCAGTCCAGCATCTGTCCTTAGGCCTGGGGACGGGGTGGCACTGGGGAGCAGTTCTCAAACATGTGCCTCTGACCCTCAAGGAGCTTATGGGAGTGGAACAAGCCTAAAGGTGACCCACCACCAAATCCTAGCCACCACCCCACCCCCTCTCACACTGGGACGGGTGGGAATGGAAGCAATGGGCAGAGGCTGGGGCCTGGAGGACCTGGGAGACAGGGCGAGCCTGGGGGAGTTAAGGGCTAGAGGTGGCATGGTGAGAAGGCTGAGCTGAGGGCAGTGGGGAAGGGCGGCTAGAGGAGCAGAGGAAAGGGGGTGTGGCTAAAAATGAGGGAGAGATGGCAAATTGTGGTACAGCGGAGAAAGTGAGTGTTGGGAACTGGCCAAAGAAAGCAGAATTTTTCCATTTGAGAGGTGAAGGCACAAGAGGGCCACCGCCTACTCCAGTGATTCCCCCAAGGCACCCAGAGCTGAGCTCTTAGCTGGGGGAATTCCCAGAGGAAAGGGCAGCAGAGCCAAGTACTCAAAGCACCAAGTGCTGACACTGGAAGGCCCAGAGCAGACCCTGGGAGGCCAAGCAGGTCTGCCCACAGGCTTCCTGTTCCCCAGCCCAGCCAAAAGCTGTCCCCAAGCCCTGTAGGAAGGGAGGGATGCCATCTTCCAGCCTCCTTTGGCTCATCTCCACACACTGGCCAATAAACAAGCAAGTATCCTATGATCTGGGACCTGGGGCCCCATCTTGACCAGTGCTAAGGTGGGTGCATGGGTGTGATGGAGAGAGGGGCCAAATGACCTATGATGGGCACGAGAATTACCTGCCAGGGCACCCCAGAGAGAGGGTCATCAGAGTGGCCAATGTCCCTGATGTCCTAGACCTCCCTAACATACCCCTTGGGTTCCTGGCTCTCTTTTTCTGATTCAGCAGTTTGAGAAACCTTCAGCTCAGCGTATCTACTTCCTGAGTGGGAAAGGAAGAGGGGGCGCTTGGGGGAACTTCCTAGCCTCCCCGAGAATCCGTTATGCAAACGAAGGCAATGGGCCCTAGAAATGAAACTGAGAAGCCCCAAGTGGCCCAAGTCAGAATCAATACCCTCTGGGAACCCAGGGAGGCCAGGTTGTGTCCCCTCCCCTAAGCCCGGTCTACCCTCCCCAAGATTCAGAATCCTTCCTACCTTCTAGCCTGAACCTCTCTCCTGGAAACCCAAGTTCACCATCAGCATGCATTTTGAGCAAGGTGAACAGGGTAAGATGGCTTCTTCACGAGGGACAATGGTCCACAGAGCTGGGATTCCAGCTCCGAACCCTGGCCCTCCACCAACCTGTACTTGCTCCTCCCACCCCCTTCTCCAGAAACAGAATATTCCTTCCCTAAAGCACCTCCAGCCCCTATCATTGACTTGCTGCCTAGGAAGAAATTGTCCTCAGGTCTCACTACAGTCCCTCTTGCTTCAGAAAGCAAGTACACAACAGACTACAAATATTTGTTGAATGTGTGGTCCTGGTTCCATCCCCAGCCAGCCCTGCCCCACCCGACCCCACAGCTGCATGCAGTGAGCTGACACACTCACTGCCCTTTAAGTGAGTGGTACATTATGACGCTTCACAGCGTTACATAAGCACTTGCCATCCATTATAGCCCCTTCTGCAGCCTGCAGGCCCTCTCCCCTTTACTAATAACGCTTCTGACCTGCCCTGAAGTCACACCTCATCCTGCCCCCTGGGGGATTCCCAAGGTATCAAACACCACCATCAGGATGGACTCCCTAAAGCATAGCCTAAGGGAGTCTGAGTCTTCTTGAGAATGGTGGCCAGTGAGCAGGCCCTGGTCAGTGGGGTGGAGTTGGAGATTTGGGGCACTAAGAAGTTGGGGAGCCAGGTCTGGAGCAAATATGGAGCCAGGGCGCCACCTAGTGGCTCCCTCACCTCCCCAACCTAGAAGCCTGGTTGGGGGAGGGGGTCGTCTCTTCCCTCAAAAGGAAGTGAAATAACTTTTTCTTTCTTTTTATTGTTGACACTATTACAGATAACAGATGTCTCCATTTGTCCCCCTTTCTCCCCCCTCCACTCAGCCCCCCACAC